CTTAGTGGCAGCCTTCAGTTTTTTCAAGACCTTCCAATTAACACTGAAAATCCAGAGTCAGGTGTCTTTCTATTTATAAAATCACAAAGAATTGCCTTCCCCTTTTGTTCACCTAGAAATCCCCCTTTAAGCAGCACCCTGAATTTTATTTTCCTCTCTCTAGAGGTGTGCAATTCCACTTCCTTCAAATTGTTAAGAGGGTTCCTGCTGGTCTCTACTCTGCCCAGAATACTCTCTTCCTCCTCTCATGTTGAGAATGAGAAAAGAGAACCCTGGACTGAGGAAAATAGCATTTTTTTCACTGCAAGCAAGTTAGTGTGTACACATTCTGAATCTCTCCCTTGTCTAATGCTTCTAATGCTCCCCCATCCCACTCCCCAAAATACTGAAGCTGATTGTGGTATCATAGCTCCCTTCCCTTTCCTCTGAAGTAAATTCAGCAACTCATTCTGCAGTTTGCCTTTTGCTTTTTGCTTTATCAATAAAAACCCAATTTTCTGGGTAAGCTGTGGCCTTAGAATCAGAGGGTCATGGAGTCAGAAGGGACTTCAAGGATCATCTAGTCCAACCCCCCACAATGCAAGAATCTTTTTGCCCAATGTGAGACTCAAACTCACAACCCTGAGAGTCTCATGCTGTACCAACTGAGCTATCCCAGTCGTGATGGACTAAGCATTTTAAAGGTAAGGTTTGGTGCTTTCTTCTTCTGTTTTGAATCCTTTCTTTTTTCAGGGCTGATTCTAATTTCTCTTTCAGGGCTTGGGGGTCCCTTCCAACTCTACAATTCTGTGATTGGGTGAAAGGGTGTCAATCTATCAGCTCCACCCAGAACATAAGCCAGGAAGTACATGGTGGAGTTTGTACCCAAGCTAGGAAAATCCACTTCTAACTAGTGGATCCACAGAAGTGAGATTATCACAAGTGTGTGGAGATGTGTGGTTAGTGACGATGGAAAAGCAGGAGGTACACCCTTGTGCAAATTAATTGAAACAAAGCATGTTTTCTATCTTACTTGTAATCCTGTACTCAAAACAAACACGAAAAGTCAGTTGATCATTATGATGTCGGAAGCCTGCAGCCAATAGAAGGAACGATGCGCTTGCCACAATATATTGAGGTTCTACGAAAGAAAATTATTCCAGAGCTGGAAAGGAGGTATCCTGACAGTACTGTGATATTGCAGCAGGACCTAGCCGCCTGTCACACATCAAAAGTGGTGAAGAAATTCATGAAAAGCAGCAAAGACAGGTACTTGATTGGCCAGGGAATTCCCCCAGATGTAAATCCCATGAGAATTTGTGGGCTACAGTGGTACCTTAGGTTACATATGCTTCAGGTTACATACGCTTCAGGTTACAGACTCTGCTAACCCAGAAATAGTGCTTCAGGTTAAGAACTTTGCTTCAGGATGAGAACAGAAATCGTGCTCCGGCGGCGCGGCAGCAGCAGGAGGCCCCATTAGCTAAAGTGGTGCTTCAGGTTAAGAACAGCTTCAGGTTAAGTATGGACCTCCGGAACAAATTAAGTACTTAACCTGAGGTATCACTGTATATGCAAAAGTCGCCTCTATGCTATAGACTGTATGACTATGGAGAAGCTCATTCAGGCACTGATTCATGTGTGGTACAGGGATCCAAAATCAACAGTGACTGTTAGAAACTAGTAGACTCTACGCCAAACTGTGTTCAAATGCTGCTTAAAAATAGCGGAGGTCATATCCGTTACTAATGTACGTATACGTGAGTTTTGTACATGTATATGTGAGTTTTGTACAATAAACTGCATTGTTTGTTTCAATTAATTTGCACAAGGGTACACAATGGCAGAGACTTCCACTACAATAGCATGAATGGCAAAGACAGCTCCTGCTCGCATTTGATTCCTGCAGCTTGCTGCTGAGGAGGAAGGCAGAATCTCTGGGTGTATTGCATTAGGATTTTAACATAATACAAAAATGTGCTCTGGACCATTCATTTGCCTGAGGAAATAAGCATAGGGAAACAGAAAACTACCACAAGTCTTGTAGAGTTTTCACAGAGCTCAAATCATATCACATACCAGTTTCTGCTAAATGTTCACATCAAGGCCTCAGCCACATGTACAATCTATGGCTTTTTGTTCCACCCTCAAAAATACCAGATACCCACACCTGACATATGAACATAATTCTAGTTTTTGAGATCCAAGATATACTGGGGGATGGAAGGGGAAGAAGTCTATGCCAAAGAAGTGTGGGTTTGATGCGACTCCAAAGGGTTTGCACCAAATATTGAGAAGGAAAGCAAGCTAATTTTACAGAGATTTTCAGCTCTGTGGAAGCAAGAGGAAGCCTGTTGTTGAACAAAGCCCAGAATACAGCTGCAGGAGGATCACTTTTATGGGATGATAAACAGAGGAAAGTTTTTTGCCTCTTGTCCTTGGGGACTTCTGCTTTCAGTATGCATTTCAAGAGCAATACTGTTACTGTTCCAAACTGAATTGCAAGACAGCATTTCTAGTCTTGTGGAAGATTTGAAGATGCTTTGAAAGCATTGGCCTCTCTTTTTTAAAAAAAACAAACCTGCTTTTATGAGGAAGACCACAATTTTGCATTTTGTGCACATGTGTGCATGTGAGTGCATGTGCTGTAATTTAAAGGAAGTCTCACTTTCAGAGAAAAACCACGAGTGGTGTGAATAATATGGTTATGGCTTCCTCCCGTTTGGCAGGGCAACAGGAGTTCAGCAGAAGCCAGCCGCTGTGGTTTGACTCTCTCCCTGATAATGACAGACCTTCCCTCCACCTCAGGAAAACGCAACACTCTAAAAACAAGGAGGAAGAAAAGGAGAGCCATTTCCTTGCCAACACCGGTAGCCGGGAGGCCTGGAATGATGCCATAAGATACCCTGCTATTTATTGCCCATTTCCACACCATAGGAAGCAAGGGAAATGCTTGCCAAAAATAAGAAAAGAAACCCTCCCTGATTCCTGTTTGACTTAACATTTGACAGGACAAAGTCAAGGATAATTCTGGCTCTCTCTGTTTGGAAGTTTCATGATTTCCTTTGCTCCTTAGAAGCAAATGGGATTTTAGGGTATCAGTGCTTTCAAATGAGAAGGCGATCAGTTCGTATTTGGATTTTACTTGCATTCCTTTTGTATTTTGCTCACATCTTTCTCTTGCAAAAATATGTAAAGCACTACATCCGTATTAACTATTAACTATGATCTCAATTACGTCTGCATACAACTCCATGCAGTTGCACAGCTTCTGTGACTATATAGAGTCTCCCAGGTTCCTACAAGAAACCACTTGCACTGTTCATTGTACATGGCTGATGGCCAACTACAACAAATTTGGATGGAATCTCTGCCACAATAAAAGGTCTATTTAATGAACACAATTTTATCCCCTCTCTCTACAGTTCCACCCTGGATAAGTTAGAGCAGGGGTCCCCAAACTTTTTGACTCTGGAAGCGCACTGGGAAATCTAAGAAACAGTTATGAGCACCATAAAACACCCATTTCACAAAAGAAAAAACTGGTGATGCTCACAAGCCCCCACCAAACAACAGGCAGAATAACTACAATAAAAAAACCCCCAAATAAAGCACACACAAAATATCAGGCAACCCCAACACTACCACCAAGCACTATCATGAGGTTGATTGTAGTCTCACTAACAGCCATATTCTGATTGCATCCTGACACATTACATTCTGACCCTATCACTTAGTAGTAGCTTTGTTTGGCTTTTAGGTAAGGTCAAAGGTAAAGGACCCCTGGATGGTTAAGTCCAGTCAAAGGCAACTATGGGGTTGTGGCGTACATCTTGCTTTCAGGCAGACGGAGCCGACGTTTGTCCACAGACAGCTTTCCGGGTCATGTGGCCAGCATGACTAAACCGCTTCTGGCACAATGAAACACCGTGACGGAAACCAGAGCACACGGAAATGCTGTTTACCTTCCTGCTGCGGTGGTACCTATTTATCTACTTGCACTGGCATGCTTTTGAACTGCTAGGTTGACAGGAGCTGGGACCGAACAATGGGAGCTCACCCCGTCGCTGGGATTTGAATTGTTGACCTTCTGATTGGCAAGCCCAAGAGGCTCAGTGGCATAGTGTGGGTTGCCAGTGCCCGGGGCCACGTAAAAGGAGAAGGGAGGAAAATGGACAAAGTATGCATGAGTACTCAATGCTTAACAGCACCCATGTCACCAAGGAGATCACAGCTGCTGAGACAAGAAAAGTTGTTCCATTGTCTGAAGAGGTCACTTCCAGAGCTCAATGATGGAAATGCACAGCTGTATTGAGGCAGCACTGGGTGCTGAAATTTTGCATCCCTAATAATTTTGTGCCCAGGGCAACCGCTCCTGTGGCCCCCTCCCATGCTACGGCACTGCCAAATGCTGAGAATGTAGATTGAGTGGCTATATTAAGCATACACAGAAGAGGTTATTCCTTCATAAATTCACCTACTCACCACCACTGCCTCATGCACACTGCAGTATTCAACTCCTTTGTGGCACTCCCAGTCAATCCGCTTTGTGTAAGCTGGTGATGATGTGGAACTCATGGGAAAGGAATTGTGACCTGGCTAGATGCTTGGGCACATAACCACTGTACCATACGCCATCAGAAGTATCTTTGTTCTGAACAGGCCCTTAGTTGCAATGGAGCTACATTCTTTTTATTTAGAAGCTTGAGTGGAACCAATGCAGAGGAGCTATCCAGCTCGCTTACTTGCCTTCTGCAAAGTCTCATTTCCTCTATAAACTAGCTAGATTATTCCCAGTCGTGTGTGTGTGTGTGTGTGTGTGTGTGTGTGTGTTACGATAAGCAATGACACTAATCAATCAAGCTGATGATTTTTCCTTGCCTGACTATGCAGAAGCAAATGCCATTTATTCACCATAATTCAGGAAGGTAAAAGACTGATATGCTTATTTGAAAGCCATGTATGGGATCTTGAGCTCCTTGGGAGGGAAGGTGGGATATAAATCAAATAAATAAGCATACCTTGAAAGCAGCTTCTCGTGCTTTTTTCTGTCTTTCTCTGGTGCATGGCTGGCACTGTGCAAGAAGATGTACAACTGCCTAGAAAATACCAAAAGAGATGGAGATTGCTGTGGGGCTGGGGAAAGCCATGGTTATAGGATCATTTATTTATTTTTGTCCTTGAGCTGTAAGAAGTGCTTTATATTCCCATGGAGTGCTGTTAGAAAATTCCCTGGACCCGGGAAAACAGAAAACCATTGTGAACACATGTACCTTCTCTTTGAAATTGCTAGGGTTGCAAGCTGCTCTGGTTCTCCAGATGGATATAGCACTGTGCATTTTTACAGTGTTTGAACTTGCCCCACTTAGAATTCAATTTCCTCTTCTGATAGGCACGCAGGTAAATATTGCCAATGGCTCTAATGTATATTTGTCCATCTTGAACACCATACAGAAATATTGTTGCTGTGTGCAATTGACACAAAGAACTGTGTATATAATATATAATAATCACCTGGCATCCTCTATCAAACTTTTTAGGAGCCATCAAATTTAATTTCCCCTTCGCACAATAAAACAGCAAGAGGAAACTTTAATAGAATGCATTATGTAACAGGTTCTATAAAAACAGCAGACCCGGCCCAGCAATGGAGCACTTCCTTCCGGAGACCCAATAACTTGTGCTGAAAGGATACTTGCTGGCTACCATGGCAACTGCAAGAGATGACACTAAGGGGAAAACAGCAACAAAAGGATCTCTTTTTTGTCCTCAGGAAAACAAGGTCTGGCTTCAGACTTGTGATACAGTGTGAATGCAGAGAAAGAGAGAGAAAATCAGTTAGCAATTCCACTCAGGTTCCAGTGACATTGCAAAGCTTCAATGTTTGCTGTGCAGTTTTGCTCTTTAGCTTTGTGCACAGGATTGGGGGGGGGCATTTAGCAAATGTGTTTTTGAAATTGATGTGAATTTCAGTGCCTGTCTGCATGCAAAATCTCCTTCCAATCCCGCTTTCCCACAAAACATTTTTACTTCCTTTGTCACATTTAACTGTAAAAGGCTCCTTTGTCTTTCTGAGTCTGTCATGCTCTGCATTTCATTGCCCAGGAGACAGCTGTTTTCAAGGCCTTTCTAAAGTGGGGGAGGGGGTTGTAAACAACTCCAAGGCCTAGACAGGGGCACACAAACATTACTAGGCTCATCATCCTCATCCGCCACAGAGGGAAACAGCCAGAGCCTTCTCAATACACTTTAGGGAAACCAAAGATTTAAAAGAATCACAGAACTCGAAGCAGAGAAGAGTCAAAGGACAACAGAATAAACTCTCATTGATTTTAGAAGCAGAGTTGGCCATATATTGACATTCTCTCTTCCTTTTTTTTGTAGAGTCATTAATACACTTTGGCTCGTTATTGTCCAATAATGGCTGCTTCTTATGATCAAGGATAACAAAATTAGATACACAGCTTTCAAAACAACAACAAGAACAACTAGCTTTCTAAAATTGCAATCTGTCAGGATCAGACAGCTCCCCAGATTTTCTTCTTTTTCTGGGCACAAGAGAAATAGACAAGATGTTTTTGAATCATGGAATAGTAGAGTTGGAAAGGACCACGAGGGTCAACTAGTCCAACGCCTTGCAATGAAGGAATCTTTTGCCCAATGTGGGACTCAAACAACCCTGAGATTAAGAGGCACATTCTCATTGTCATGAATGGCTCCGTGCCAAAATATTCCACCTGGAAAACAATCCGCTTCCTTTATTATATCATTTGTATTACTACAGGTTATCAGTGCTGACATGGAAATTTTGATATTGGAGAAAATGAAGTATTGGCATTTCTTATGGCTCCATGCTTTACATCAATGGCCTTTGCAAACAAAATATATTGTTTTTATGAAATTTGCTGATAATACAAAGCTGAGATGCCGTATCATCAATATAGACGAAGATCTGGAAGTTTTTAACACATTAACTGGATGACATTATGGACTAATGGAACTGGGGCGAAATGTAGTACTGATGTCAATTTAAGAACTAGCCATGAGAACTGTTGATATGGAAAGGCTCAACAACTGAACCACAGAAGATGAAAGAGTCCTGGAAGTCTCTGGAATACTTTAGATATTCAAAAGATGGAATAAGGGGAGAATCACATGTGACTTCCACTTCCCAGATATCCAGTTTTATCTTAGGGAAAAGTGCATTTTACCCATTGAGATACATATGTTCTCTTCTTGCATTGAAATAATGCATATGGCTCTAATGCAACTATGGATGGTGGTGGTGATGATGACTATGTTATGCCTTCGCAGTTGGAGGCAGTGATGCTTCTGAATGCCAGTTCCTAGAGGCTTCAGGAGGAGAGAATGGTCTTGTGCTCAGGCTCTGCCTGCAAGTTTCCCACAAGGATCTGTTTAGCTACTGTGTGAACAGGATGCTGGGTTATAGAAGGGCTGCCGGCCTGATCCAGCAGGCTCTTCTTATGTTCTTAGCATTTCTTCTAGTAAGAAGAACTACAGCAGCAAGAATTCTCATCGCAAAGCACTGGAAGACACAAGATTTACCCACACTGGAGGAATGGCAGACGCAGTTGATGGACTATATGGAACTGGCTGAAATGACTGGCAGAATCCGAGATCTGGACGAGGAAATAATAGAGGAGGACTGGAAAAAATTTAAAGACTATTTGCAAAAACATTATAAACTGTATGAATGTTAAGAATGTGCACGATTAGGAAATGTTATGCTTTCGCAATTTGATTAAGTAAATGGTAAAGTAAGTGATAACAGAGAAAAAAAAGAGGAGACAAATGTGAAACAAATATATTATGTTTATTTTAAAGGTACTAAAACTGGGTTATAACATTCTGAATTTGGAAACATAATAATTGAAAGTTACAGTAAGTTGTGAAATAAGGTAACAAATTGCTGACACTGTTATTGCATAGAACGCAAGGCCTGGAAGATGTGAGGAGGTCCAGCTGACAGGGATAAATTATGGAAAGATGATTTGACACATATCTATTCTTTTTTATTTTCTTATATCTTCATAATTTGTTTCTTGTTTTTTACTCTTGTATTTTTGAACTTGTGAACCTATGGAAAGAAACGCAATAAAAAAATATTTATAAAAAAAAAAGAAGAAGAAATGTCCAATCACTAGGGAAGTCATCAGCTTCAACATCCTCCCCCAAAACATTTGGGAGGACAGACAACTTTATTCAGAGAACCTCCACATATCTGTTTTATGAAGGGGCCAAAACAGACATGATGGCAAATGTTCAATTCATAATTGCTTGGGTTTGTTTGGTTTTTAAAAATAAAATAAAAAAAGCTGGTTTGGGACCAAGACAGGAAGAACTTAATGTTTCCCCACCACCACAGTTTTAATCCACATCAAAGGGCCCCCACAGCTGCTATTTGCATCCTGAGAAAAGCTCCCATTGGCACATTTGCTTCTTTTCCATTGACATGCTCATTTTTAAGTTTTTTTATGAAGAGGATTCTTGGAAGGATATCTTTTAATGGTTTTATGTGTTTCCCCGTTGATGTATGTTGAGTGAATCTCTGGCTGCATTCAGATAGCACTTGATTCCGTTTCCCCAACATTTCCTTGCTTGATGCTTTCTGTGTTTTATGTGCTCTTTTATCGGGCATAAAAGTTACTTCTGGCCATGGCCTGTGGTCCAGTCCTTTTGGAGGAACGTTCAAATTTCTGAACATCTCAGAAATTGGCACCATCGTCAGAGCTGTGATTCAACCCAGTTCTGCCCCATGCCTTTTAACTGGTTTAAAGAGAATAATCCATCTATTTTTCTGAAACCTCTTGTAACGCTCTTGCTGCCTGATTGGTGGCTGATCAAGGACTATCACCCCTGGCAGTTTAGAAAGCTCTTCACAAAGCCCTTCTGAAAAACGCAGTCAGTATCTCAAAGTTCTTTGGGGAGATGCAGAGCTGGAAGACGTTCACACTGTTTGGTGGACTTTTATCATTTATTTGAATAAACAGCTTGAAAGGAACTTTATCTTTCCTAGATATGATTTTTTTTCTGGAAATATTTGTGACCCTGAACCCCTTCTTTCTGTTTCAAAGTCTTGGTATAATGAACCACCCTTCAATCTTTCTTTAAGGGACCCTTTATTCTGTTGTAACGGCCTTATGTTGTAACTTTTACCTGTACCAGTGAATTAATTCATGGTTGGTTGGTTTTGTTGTTGTTATACTATAAACATTAATAAAATATCATTTTAAGAGCACAGCTGCTCAGCTGGGGAAATAGTATTTTCCAAGGAATTGTTAATTTCATTTCATTCTTCTAAAACATTTCTCTTTCTAAGTCAGGAAATTGCAAAACCAAACATTCCCTCCATTCTGGAAGATGCCTCCTGATGCGTCCTTCCCCCTCACCCACAATCAAAAGAGCTGCAACTCTGGAACAGTATTGTAAAATTGCACTTTAATTAAAAGGAAAGGTAAAATCTCTTAAAAGTTCATAGTTTATTTTGGGATTAGATGCTCACTATCAAGTTGTGGCACATTCTAAACTCTGCTAACACAGAGCTGGGGAAAGTATATAAAACAAAGGATTTGAGAACTCTCTCTTCCTTTGAAAGAAAAAACCTTCCAAGCTTCAAAACTCTTCCTGAGGCCTCTGCATTTGACATGTAGCAATAGATCGCTGCTCTGAATCCTGTATGTCTGAGCCAATGTCATAAATACAGTATATGCTTCCTCCTTGCAAGTGAAAGAATGAAATCTAATCCATTGCAAATGACTTCACAGGGATATGAGGAGAAGTGTCATTTCAAACAAAAAGTCAGGCCTGTTGCATATTACATTGGTTCTGAGCACACTGCAGTTTGTCTTTTACCTGCTCATAGCTTTTTCATGCACAGCATTGGTGCAGGGCCAAATGCTTTAGCCAGTTGTCTGGTATCTATCCAGAATAGCTTCACTGAAAGCTAATCAATTCACAGTGGTTTAAGAGGCAGCACAATCTTGCCCATAGACTGCTGATCATTTCAACTCCCAGAACAAATTTGTAAAGGATAGGAAACACATTAGCAGTGCAAAGTAAATAACTAGGGTACAATTCCAGCACAAGGA